GAAAGAGACTTTACTAACACTCTGCTGAGCCAAAGAGAGAGGAAAAAGCTTTCTGTGTTTCAGACAAATTGGAGAATGTCCACGCTGTGTCCCGGAGCACTCCAGACTTTTATAGGTCTTGATGGAAAGATTCCTAGGGGGTGAAACTTCAGGGACAAACACCCCTGGAAGAGAATGGCTGGCATCATTTTGAAGACATTTCATTATTTCGTGGAACAAGGTGCCTGCAGTGCCTGAAAGATGTCCCAGCTATGCTTGCCACCTTTTCCCAGTAAGAGATCACTAAGATTGTTTTTTCAAAAATTTCTATGGGCTCAATATTCTCTTTCCTGAGCAATCTCAAGGTGAACCAGGAGATTAAAAATAGTCCACAATATATTCTCAGTGTTAGTTAAGATATTAGTCACATAATATTCTTGGACTTGTACTTCCAGGGCATCTTCCACCCAAGAATTTCCATGTTCTTTCCAAAGTTAATATTTTTCTGATGGGTTAAAACAAAATGGAAAAGTCCAAAGAGGAAGGGGTAGATATTAAATCTGTGGCCTTTAAAAATTCCTTTCCAACTCTTTCTTTCGTAGATAGCTGTGTGGTCTTGGACAAGTCACTTTCCCTCTCTGAATCTCAGCTTCCTAATTTGTAGAAATGAGAGGTCAAACACTTTCCCCCTTGAACAGTCTAATTTTGTTGGAAAATCTGTAGCACAGCTAACACTCAATTTTACTCTGGAAGAGGCCTATGCTATTTAATTACAGCAGATCTTGGCATTTGCATACTTGACATCTGTGGCTTTGACTATTCCCAGAGATCCCGAAGGTCCACGAGCTGCAATAATCTGTTATTTCACAGAGGCGTGCTGTGAGCCTGCGATACAGGAGCCAGTCACATGTTCAGTGAGTGAGATTAAGGTGCTGGCAGAACCCACATCTCCGTGAGCTTTTGCTATTGTCTGCAGGAGGCTCAAAGGCCACAATTCTCACAGTGCACTGTTACAGGAGTCATAAAGGTGGGGATTCTTCTAGATCAGGGAAGTGTCACTAGCATCCTTCTCAAATGTCAAGAGTTTATTGTAACATGGGTTTTAAGTAATCATGTACCCACCCCCAAGTCATCTGCTTCACTATACAACCCGATGAAGGTTACTTTAAAAACTTTAGTGATGCCCTGGCCCTTGTGCTCAGTGGTTAGAGCATCAGCCCAGGGACTGAAGGGTCCCAGGTTAGATTCCAGTCAAGGGCACGTACCTCAGTTGCAGGCTCCGTCCCTGGCCCAGTCAGGGAGAGTGCAGGAGGCAGCCAATCGATGTGTCTCTCACATCTCTCTCTCTCTTTCTCTCTTCCTCTCTCTCTCCCCCCTCCTCCCTTCCACTCTCTCAGAAAAGCAATGGGAAAAATATCCTCTGGTGAGAACTAACCAAAATTAATTAATTAATTAATTAAAATAAAAACTTTAGTGGTGTCATGCATATAGCAAGGAGATTTTATTCCTCTTTCATTGAACTTATCTCAACCATACCGCTTCTCCCATGTGTTTTGATTTGACTGAAGACCTGTATCCTCTCCACCTGAGAAGATCCTTGAGCACTGGGGTGCCAGCTTGTCTTATTTACTATCTCCAGAGCACCTAGCAATGTACCTAGTATGCAGCAGGTACTTAATGAACGTCTAGGGAATGTGTGAGCACCTTCTGTGAGCAGGCACTGTGTTAGCGGTGCGTTTTCTTCACACTGGTATGTGGTACTTCTCACACCCCTGCAGGAGAGATACTATTATTCCTGTCATTCCAACAAAATATCTGGGACTCAGGCAGGTGAAGTGACTTGTTCAAAGCTACACAGCTGGTGCTCGATGGATTTCCATCTGTCTGTTGGACTCCAAAGGTCACGTTTTTCCATCTTACAGTCTTTGAAGAAGGAAAGCATAGAACCAAATAAGTGGATTCACAGATTCAATATTATTGATGGAGCACAGGCCTGGCTTCACCCTGGATAGTAAAGAGGGAAGGATGAGAGCGTGGGACCACTGCAAGCATCACACAGCTTTTGTCTAAGGACTCTGAGGGCTTCAATTTCAGACTCCAGACTGGTGCTGCCATTAGCAGGGTCTCAGGTAAGAGCTGGGATCCAGCTGGGTCTCGTGGTCTGGTAGAGATCTTGTAGAGCCTTTCCACTCTCAGCTGGGACCAGCAGCATCAGTAGTTTGTTAAAAATGCTGAATCTCAAGCTCTACTCTAGACATTTTTAAACATAATCTGCATTTTAGCAAGATCTCTGGGTGGTTCATCAGCACATTAAAATCCGAGAAACACCACTCTAAAGACATTCTAAGGTCCTTTCTGGCTCTAATATGTTATGAGTTTAGACTAGGGCTCTTCGTGGTAGCCAAAAAACTAGCATGCTTATTAATGAGGGTCACACAGAGATCCAAGCAACCTGATCACCTCCACAGTGTCTTCCGAAGAACATTGTTAATTCATCGATATTACTATTAATGGCCTCATTCACTGAGCACATACCCTGTACAAGGAACATTACATACAATATCTTGACTTGCCACAATGGTCCTGCAGGAAACATTATTATCTCCATTTTACCAATGAGAAAATAATCTCATAAATTAATAAAATGCCACATGGTTAAATCAATAGTAGAGACAGAACTCTAACCCAGAGTACTTAGAGTTCATGGTTCTTCTGCTATATCATCCTGCCTCCAGTAAAATTACTATTTAAAGTGTTGAGCATAGGGGTGCAATGCGAGGAGAGACTAGCAAACAGGTTCTGGATTCATTCTTCTGCAATGAAGAAGACCAAAGGGGTAGCCTAAGTCTACTGAAGTCTAAAAAATAATGCAAAGGGTTAGATGGGAACATAGACTTGTTCTCCAAACCCTAAAATACCTGAACTAGAATAACACATGCGTGGAGGTTGATGTACATTTAAAACCAGCACCATCCAGAAGTGATGATCATTCATGAAACATATTTACATTCAAGCTGAAAACACAAACAGGAAGGTTTAGCATATTCAGAGATCCTAGGTGCACAACTGATTATCAATGGGACAAATAAATTGGGAGCCAAGCCTCTGATCTCTCAAAAACTACCCTTCAATGCCCTTGGTAGATAGGTACTGAATTGGAGGAACCACAAGTCTCTCAAGTTATGGCCAATGCTGTGGTCTTGATGTCATTTAATGCCTGACAATAATCTCTTGTATACGGATGTTGCCATAAACGTGTGTGAAGTCTCAAGGAGTTGTCTTCCCAGTGAGGGTCTGTCCTTCCTTTGTATGTGTAAACACTCTCCCGTGAGCACATATAAATGGATCATATTCTCTAGAAGGCACATGTTTTTACTTACACTAACAAATGACTATCCTTCTCAGCAAAATGACTAAACAGAGCTCCAATAAATCAATTTGTCAAGGGCTATTTCACTTCAGGAGACAATCTCCCCTGTCCCATCTTTGGCTGGTGCAAATATGACCTACATTGAGTGGCCTGTGTCAATGGTACAGAAAATCCTAGAGCGGGGAGGCACTGCAAAAAGATCTGACCCTTCCTCTAAGCAAGGAAAGTGTTGCTATTCCCACTTTACAGATGAGATTATTTAGTTCTAGAGCTAAGACTAAACGACTTGCCCAAAGTCACACTGTTAGGAAGACATTGAGGAAGGACAAGAGCGGAGTCCCTTGGATGACTCACTCAGCTCTGTTAAGCTCTGTCCCTAGGCTGGACCTGGGAAGAAGCTCTTCTAGGACACCTCTCCCTTGGGTCTACAAACCCCTTTGCCATGAGTTCCTTCCTTCGCTCTTCTGGAAGTTGTATGTTTTCATTTCCCACTGAAAGCGTTTCCAGCAGGTCCTTGGAGCAGTTTGACATCCCCGCTTCCTATATTCCCCTTTTGTTCTCCACACCTTCTCCTGCTGCTGCTTATTGCTTGTGGACACCAGCAGGAATTCAGAGACAAGGTGGCCCTTTCTCGTCCCCATCTCTCTTGGCCGCCCTGGAAAGTTTACCCTCCCATAAGCTACAAATCCTGAGGAAAGTCATTCCGCTTCCGTCTTCTCAGCCATCTATCTGAGAAAGGACAGAACTCCCAGTACAAGAGGATTCAGTGGGGACAGTTACAGAGGCAAGAGAAGTGTAACACCCACAGTGTGAGGACTAAATGGGGCAGTAACCTGGAAACTATTTCAGGAGAATTCCGGACTTTGAAAAGAGATGACCACACAGAAGATGCGTTTTCTCCCACAATTTTTAAGAGGTTTCTCCTTCGCTGCTTAGCCAGATTTTGGAGCTTAGACCTGTGACTAAAGACAGGTGGCTGCTGTCCTGGGAGCTCTGCTTCTCCAACATACATCCAGTACCCAAGCCATACTGACTCATCTCACCTAGACTGGGCAAGCCTCATAAAATAGCCTCTGGGCATTTAAACAGATTGCCAAGTTTCAATCAATTTTGCAATTTCCAAATTGAAGGAGAGATACCTGAAATCTGGTTATACAATACAACTGCAATGTGGCATTGGGGGGAAAAAAGCCAATGCCACTTGCCTTCTTGAGGATGTCCTGATTGGGCTATCGCTGCCTCGGAGTGGAAAGGATAAGCTTCAAAGCTCATAGAAGCCCTTGGCATGAAGAGAGGAGGAAGGAGAGACCCAAGTAGTCTCCTAGCTCTTAGTCACAAGAATTCTCCAAAATCTGATATCAGAACTTCTGTCATCCCACACCTCCACCAGCCATCATGTTGAGTTTCAGTAGATAAAATCTGTGTCCTTAGATCCTATCACAGGATTCCTTGCCCAGAAACATTTTAAAGTGAGAAACTGAAGGAGAGTTTGAAAGCAGAAACTGCCGGTAGTGTCTGCTGATCCCACATACCTGTGATGGAACCAAAATCTGAAATTAACACAAATACAAGGGAAGCTTTAAAGAGCGGTGCGGAAGGACAGAAGGATATACAAGGGATGGAGGGGGTAGAGTACTGAAAGGTTACTTACACAGTTTCATTGTTCTTGAACTCCAACTCCCCATATATGTCTTCAAAATCCTCACCACCACCCTTGGCTGTCCCTTCTACTGTCCTAAAGGGGACGACGACTGTGCCCCGGGCACCTGATGTCCGCAGAACCTTGACCTCCATGACACCAACACTCTCACTGACATGAATACTGTCGCATTCAAAAGCGAAGATGCCTGCATGGTCATCATCCAAGATAGTGACCGTGGCCACATAAGGGGACACCAGGACAGCCCGAGGCCGGGGAGGGCTGCTCAGCACTGTTGGCGGCACCCCCTCCTCCGGCTGCCACTCCTCCGTGCGGGCATTGCTCAACCTCACGAAGAAGTGTTCGTCTTCCTCAAAGATGTCGTCATCAATGATGCCCACAGAGAACTCCTTCTGGGTCTCTCCTGGCTTCAGAACCACAGTGCCCTCTGTGAACTCATAGTCAGCCCCCGCGTTGGCAGAACCATCCTCTGTTTTGTAGTCCACATACACGGTCTTGGACGTGTCCCCCCCTTTCCTCACCACCGTCAGGAGCACAGCCCCACAGTTCTCCAGGCACTGGTAAGAGCACGGGTCAAAGAAGACCTTGGAGACAAAGTCCTCGGGCTCCTGGGTGTGCACGTCCCTCGTGTTGGCAGACCTCTTGGCTCGTTCTGCAGCATGTTTCCTCAGGATGTTGCCTGCGCCAGTCATCATACGGATGGCTTGAATCCGGTAGAAGGCGCGGCTCTTCGGTTGATGGGAAAGAGCATAGTAATTGGCCATCTCTACCAGCTGATCTAGGTCCTTCTCTGGATGTTTTTGCTTCAGATCCTTGAGGATCCGGATCACCTCCTTGCGGGACTCATCCACTTCCTTCCCTTCCAGGGGCACCAAATTCCCATCTAGAAAGTGGGAATTCATCATTTTCCCATCCATCTCAATGCCCTTGGGGTGGTCACCCTCTGTCTCTATGATAATTCCTCGGTGTTTATCTGTGCGGTACTTTTTGTGCATGTATTTGTAGAAGAGCAGTCGTTTATCTGCCACCCAGGCCAGAAGGACACACACTGGAAAAAAGATGAGAGTGAGGAGGCCTTCCCAAACCTGGACCACACCAGGAGAAAAGACCGCCAGGATCATATAGAGCCAGATGTAGGCAAAGATGCTCCAAGCAGCAGTGACAAAGAAGACTCGTAGGTGCTTGATCTTACGAGTCTCTCCATCGGGGATCACGTAGACGCAGATGCCAATGATGATGAACATGTTGAAGGCTGCACTGCCCACAATGGTAGAAGGTCCCAGATCACCAGCAATGAACCCATGACCACATACCTCAATTAAAGAGAGGAGGATCTCAGGAGCAGAGGAACCCAGGGCCATAAGGGTCAGGTTGGAGACAGTTTCGTTCCATACCCGAACCGTTGTTGTGCTGGTCTCTCCATTGGGCTTTTTGATAGTCACCTCTCTCTCTTGAGAAGTGATGACTTCAATAGATGCCATGAAGCGGTCAGCAATGATGGATACCCCAAGGAACATGTATATCAGGGCCACAAAATAGACGATGACCCTGGCAATCTTATCCCCAAGAGAAGGGTTCTCCGGGTACCAGATTGGTAAGATGACACCCTCCTTGCAGTCCGATGACCCTGAACAGGACTCATTGTTCTTCCCTGTGCCGGGCACATCCCCTGAGCCACCAGCCTCTGCCCGAAGACCATTCAGGAAGAGCACAAAAGTAATCAGCCCAAAATGGAGGAAGGCAGAGGTGAGAGGCTGCAACCTTAACCACGCCATACACGAGACTTAGCCACTGGCTTCCACTGCAGCACCAATGGTCCTCCTGACAGGCCAGAGACCTAGAAAAGACCAGAAAGGCAGGAAAAGGCATGAGGAAAAGGGAGATGGCAATTGGTAGGTTCCCACCAACACAAACTGATATTTCACCTCGAATGGCATATTGCACTAACATATGGGGCAGTCTCTCACTTGGAAAAATACTTATCAGTGGGAGACACAAATAGCTGCTCTGTCCTCAGGACCATCTGGTGGAGACTCAGTTGAAGAATGGCTTAAAATAGCTGGGAATGTTGGTAATGAAAACACAAGTGATGCTCATCTTGTCCTGTCTCCCAACCCTACTGTCATCTGTGAGAGTTCTCTAGAATCAACTTAAAATAGGCCAAGGATGACCTGAATTTTCATCCCCACTTATACTATTTCTAGGTTTTCAGCCTTCTTTACCTCAATGTCATCATACTCAAGAATCTTGCATAATACAGGTTTGCAAGAGCACATACTGAGTTGAACTTTTATCATGAGCTAACCTCCAAAATAAAACACCTTGTCCGAGTGCAATTGAGCCCACTTGGGAAAATCTCCCTCCCTCGATGCAAAACTTCTGCAGGCAAGCTGCAATTCTGAGATTGCCTGGGAAATCGGAAGATTTGGGTTTGGAATTTGAGTGACTGACTGATCTTCATCTTCCTGTAACTGGAAACTAAAACTGTTTTATAAGCATGTTTTGCTGGAGGGCTAAGGGTTGCGTGGACTGAGTCTTGGGCACAGCTTACAGAAACCAGCAAACTGAACTCACCACTCCAACTCTTGCCATTCTCTAGTTCATTTCCTCCCATAGCCAGTCATCTTTTTTTAAAAACCCAAACCTACACGATTGCTTCCCTATTTGAAACCCTTCAGCAGTTTCCTCTTGCTCATAATTTAAGACCACATTCCTTCCCGTGACCTACAAAGCCCGGTATCAGCTACCTTCTTCCTCCTTGCCCCCCTTTAGCTCCTGCCACTCTTCCTCTTACTACACTTCAGCAACAATGGACTTCATAGCAGGTTATTTTCCACCTCTAAACCTTTGCACATGACATCATCCAGGCACGCCCAAAATGACTGTTTCTTCTTTGCATCCCCACTCTTAACAATCCTTTAGATCATAGCTTAAGTGGCACTTTCTCAGAAAAACTTTCCCTTGCCCCCCAAAATGGTCAACTCCCTCTGTTGTGTCCTCTCATCACATTTTTCTTTCATGGCATTTATAAAACTTTGAAGCTACATGGTTTTTGTGGGGGGTTATATGATTAATGTCTAACTCATCCACTAAACTGTGAATGACATAAAGGCAAAGACTATGTCTCTTCTGTTTATCATGGTATCCTAACAGTGAGTTAACTAGGTGTTCAGTAAATATATGTTTTTGGAATAAATATATGTAGTCACTAAGGAAGCTTCCTCAGTGCTGTGAATTGAATTGTGTTGTGTCTCCCCCTGTCCCCATCCCTCCACTCCCCCTAAATCCATGTGTTGAAGCCTTAAGCCCCAGTGTGACTGTATAGTGAGATAGGGCTTTTAAGAGGTAATCAAGGTATAATGAGGTCATAGGGTGGAGTCCTAACCTGATAAGATTGTTGGCCTTATAAAAAGAGGGAGGGGGAGAGAAGAAGGGGGAGAGGAGGAGGAGGAAGAGAGAGAGAGAGAGAGAGAGAGAGAGAAAGAAGAGAGAGAGAGAGAGAGAGAGAGAAAGATCATGTGAGAATATAGCAAGAAAGTGGCCATCTGCAAGCCAGGAAGACAGCTCTTGCCAGAAACCAAATTGGCCAGCACCTTGATCTTGGACATCCTAGCCTCAAGAACTGCGAGAAAATTAATTTCTGCTGTTTAAGCCAGCCAGCCTATGGTATTTTGTTATGGCAGCCCGAGCAGGCTAACACACTCCAACATCGACCTCCTTTGAAGCCATTTTATTATCTGAATTATAGCCATTTGCTTTAGAAACAGAATATACAGATCTCATAGACAAATCCTGACTTGATTTTAGAGGTTATGTAGGACCTCTTTAAACTCCCAAGGCTTGTACGCAAAGAGAAATTCTCTCGAGGCACAGTGCGCCCTGGTGCCCACTGTAATCTTGAAGGCCCTCCTCCCAAAAAGCTCTGTGGACTCACTTGGTTTCATACTCCCCAGCACGGCCGCCAAGTGCTGAGGCCCACATTCCCCATTAGCTCGGGTACAGGGGGTCCTCACAGCAGGTCCCTGGGGCTTTGACCTCACTGGGAAGAGAAAAGGTTACAAGAATGACTATGGAAAAGGAGAGTGGTTGAAGGTGTTCAGCATCCATATTCGAAGGCTGGAAAAGCTCATAATCTGCAATGCACACAGAGACCCCATTCACAGATCCGGCACTCACCCGCCCTGGAGAAGTGAGGACATAGACAGATCTTGGCACCCTGCCCTGACCTCTGAAAACCCCACACTTTGTAGATTCTGATAAGCCCCATGCAGGAGGAGACAGAAGGTGGGCACAGCTGGAGCAGCTCTTTGATCAAGAGCCAACGAGGTGACAGGAGGTGGCAGCTGTGTGGACTAGCCAACCCCAAGAAGGGAGGCTATCCACAGGTTAGGGAAGAGAGCCAGCGGGCCTTCCGCAGTCGGAGGACAGGGAACACCGAGGCAGTCGAGTTTTCCTGACAACGGGGATAAGGGCTCCTCCTGCTCTTACCCGGCAGGAGACTCAAGGAGGATCACAGTCTCTGGTCTCCTCGGCCTTACAGACACCTGTGGCTACAGGTTTCAATGGGAAATAAGCTATCATATGATCAGAATCAGAGGTCAGTTTCGAAAGACTTTTCCTTGAGAAAACAGATGAACTGAAGAAAAGGGTGAAAGAGAACAAGGCAAGAAGGAGGCTAGCAAATGCCTGCACCAAGTTTTTGGAATTGAAGGTGGAAAATGACCTGTGAATTCCCAGATGTTCTTTCCAGCCCTGCCAGGAAATGGTTTCTGCCTGAGATTTTAGAGGGAGAGGGGCACCTCTGGTGACCAAGCCAAGAGTCATTCTTTTGTGCTTCAGACACCAATTGAGACAGATCCCAACGTCCTGGGGGCCCATCCCAGCCCCTTAGAGACCCAAGTGATTCCAGAAGGCTCTCAGTCAGCCCTGAGGCATACTTGGGGATATGACCCAGCTTGAGATCCTTGAGAACCACCCCAAATAATGAAGACATTAATAATAGTAACTAACACTTAAAACTGCCTATTGTGGGATAATGCTAAGTATTCCTCCATTAATCTTTGAAACAATGCCATGGATTAGTACTATTTTTATCCCTAACTTATGTTTCAGGAAACTGAGGCTTAGTTAAGTCATTTACTCCAAGTATAAAGCAAGGAAGTAGAAGAGCCAGAACTCACACACTGATGACATAAAATGTATGGTTTTCACCACTCCATTTTATTAAGATGTCCCACTTTGTTATAGATCATCCATGAGCCTCAATCAGCTTCCAGTCCCCTGTGGGCTTAGAAGCAATGTGACTGCCCCACACACCCTAATAGGAGAGGCCAGCCATTTGGTATACATGCCTAGTCCCCAGGCTTCCAGGGGGTGTTCTGGTTGCCCGATGCAGTCTCCCACCCCAACGTTCTCCTTCCATCAGTTCATTTTGACAAAAATTAACAGAAGCCAGCCATTCGCCAGGCCTGGTACTAGAGGCTGATGGGCAAAATGAAAAATAAGAGACAGGGTTTGCCTTCAAGGGTACAATCTAGCAGGGGTGGATCGCTGCACAAATAGGCACTTTTACTATAATAAGTAAAGGTAAGGGCAGAATGCTGTGAGAACACAAGGAGGGCACTGAGCCAGCGTGGGGAGTCAGGGAGGCGTTCTGAAGGAGGTGATCCCTGAAATGAGTCTTCAAGCATGAGTGAGCTTTAGTAAAAAAAAAAAAAAAAAAAAAAAAAAAAGTGGGAAGGGCATTCGAGTCAAAGAGAACAGCCTAAGCAAAGACGTGGGAGAGCCTGCCGTGTGCATGGGATTACAAGGAACCCAGCGTGAAGCGGGAGGGGCAGAAGATGAGTGTCCAAAAGGACCGGACACATAGGGAGGACTCAATGTATGGCATCGTATTTGCCAGGCTGAGAAGATGGGATTGTATCCTAAGGGCAGTAAAAGCCAATGACAGGATTTTAAAGAGCAGCATGACATGGTCTGATTTATTGTTCAGAAAAACCAATTCAGCTAAAGGGTTTAGGATGGCTGTACGAGGGGTCTACCGGAGCAGGAAGATCAGTTAGAAATCCTTTGGACACAGAACAGATACAGATAAATAGGGTGGGCCTAGGGTATAATCTGCAGATGATGACCCACTGTCCCCATGTCACATTCCTCTTCCTCAGCTGAACGGATGCCCTAGTTCAGCCCACGGCCTTCTCATCTCTTTCCTGGATTATTTTCCTAACCCCCCTGGGGCCATCTGCAATGTGTCTGTGTCCTCAGCAGTGGCTCCTGACATCTTTTAATATCACTGGCAAATTTAATTAAAGTCACTGTTCCTCTGTTCTTCCAGATCATTAATAAAACAGTGCCACCAGGCCAGACTGAGCACATTCTCCCTCTGCTACGCCCTCCACTTTCTCCAATGGGAACACTGCTCGGGCCTGTCACCAGCCTGTGTAGAGTTGTCCTGCTCTGCTTCTAAATCTGGGCCCCTGCACAGGCATCACAGCCAATTTACATTAAAATTTTAGGTGCAGCCAGGCTGCACTAGATCCAATGTGTCACTCGAGCCCAAGAACACTGCATCAACTGCACCCCTCTGCGTGCAGGGGATGCAAGTCAGCGCAGAGTTCTCTCCGTGGCCATGCTCCCCCCACCCCCACCCAGAAACACAGGAACTAAGTCCCCTGCCCTTCCAAGAGTAGGAAATAAGTGACTGCAGCTGCTTGGATAGTTTGTCACCACTGGAACTTTCGTCCAAGGAAGAAAACAGAACCATGCTGCTTCTTGGGCAGCATCTCTTTGAATCTTCACAGTAAAGGAAGCACTATTACCATCATGCCCTTTTTGCAT